ATCAACTCCCTCTGGCAGTTGTTCAGAGGGTGCGGTTTTAATTTTTTTCCATTAGTTGTTGATTATACTGCCCTGTGTCGGTTTTTAAAAATAGCCACGATCCAGACCAATTTTGTGTACGCTAGGCCAGCGAGCTTATTTTCAAGTAGCTACGGCAGCCCCGAATTCCTAGTCTTTATGAAGGAAATGAGCTACACCTGTACGCGGTATCCTCTACGAGTCTGGGAGTGAAAAATTATCTCATGGCCAAGTTCAGCCAAATTTCGCAATCCCGAAGAAGTTGGCGCATGAGGCAATGATCCAAGACTCTCTACGAAATCAAACTCTTCCACCCAACTAGATCGATCTCCACAAAATCCTCATCAAGTTTACATGTACGACTGAATACATGCTGATTTCAATGATCATACCTCCCTGCGGCTTTCTTTGGCCTCAGCTGATCACCACATATACGCCCACGCCAATATTTATAACCAGAGGGGAGAAACAGGGCGTGGCGCACAAATCTGGGATACAGTTATTTGAGATGGGCCTGAGAGAGATCTAGATAAGTGGACAAAATGGTGAAAATAGTGGATACTATCTCAGAAGGGGTAAGTTTTCGAAATTTGGCAAGGAGTTTTCACGAATTGATCTTTGTGCGCACCAAGACATCGCTTGCGAGACTGCAGCTGACACTATAAAAACAAGCAAACGATGTCTTGCAAATGAAATCCGAGGCATGAGTGCTCCTATTGTAAATTGAGTCATCTTTTCTGTACTTTTCTTTGATATTGTGTCATAGCTAGATAGCTGCATACGCAATTAAAATCTGATGCAAAAAAAAAAAACGATGTAGAGTGCTGTAGTTTACTTGTTGGTGGAGTTCTCCAGTATAGTTTGAACACCCGGTACACCTACTCCAGTTGGGAGAAAGACGCTTCAGACTAGACTTCGCGCGAAGAAAAGTCAATAGATGATGGAGGCATGTCTTTATAACTCAGGGTTTTTGAGACGTTCCCCTGAGTTGGTATTCACGGATGAGGGTTGAGTTTGGGTGAAGAAAGAGCCACCATAACTTCGCAGGGGTACATGCAAGTGAAATCCGAGGCATGTGTGCTCTTCCTTTGTATTGATTCATCTAACATGTACTCTTCTTTGATATTTTGTCGTAGCTAGATAGCTGCATACGCAATTAAAATCTGATGCAAAAAAAAAGAGTTGAGCTGGGCGCGTTTAATGCATGATGTATATTAGTAATCTCAACCTATTTGAGTGTAACCTGTAATACTCTTGAGACGAGAGGCAGAGATTAAAGTTAATTACTCTCTTGTATACATAGAGGTTTAGAGTGTGCGCAAGGTCGTCCTATGATTTTAGTGTGTGTTTGTGCCTCCGTATTTAGTCGGATTTTTGGAGAACCTAACATCCTCGACTGCCATGTTTTGCAATATGCCAACTCCCATATACACGCGCATGGTCGTCAGCGTAAGAGATTGAAAGGGGCTGTAGGAATGACACAGACTTCGTTGATGGTGTGATTTATGGAAGATTTTGATGAGTGATGCAATGAGATAGGGGATGTCGATGAAATACAGGGAGAGTAAAGAGAGTACGACCTGAGGCACAGGTGTCCTCGAAGGCAGAGGGGATTTGCATGTCCGGCAGAGTCTCAAACTGAGACTGAACAACGGAACATCAGTTGATTCAATGCTAGATGATGAGCAATTACCGCTTTGATGTGAGTCGGGACGCAAAGTTATTCGGCGCTATTGGGTAGTTCATTTGCTCGGGTTGGCCTCATTGCAAATTTCATCTGTACCTTTGATGACAAGTTGTTGCTTGTGGAGATTAAGGATCTTTGCTGTGTCGGGGATTTGCAGTCTGAGAACTATGCTGAAGAGCTGCATGAGATGAATTGGATTAGCCTTTCTGCACAAGCACTAACATTGACAGAATGTAAGGGTCGTCGATTAGGTACTCTAAGGCCATGAAAAATTCCTAATTATCGGTCGGGACTCTGTAGAGGTTAGATGGGAGGAGTGGGTGTCTCAGCTCTCTCTACTGCCCCATCATCGGCCCAAGTCAAGCCTCCAGCAGACGGGAACAGCAGGCAGAAAGTTGGGACATTCAACCATTATCACAACCATGACAATGCGAGAGAATGAGCAGCGGAAAAAGAAATGCAGTGACGTATATCCATCGCACAGTTGGATATGAGTCTCAGCGAGCTGCCAGCGGCCCAGCTGCCGGACCGATCCCTGTGGGGCCAATCTCCCCAGACTTTCGACGTCCGTTGCCCAGGGGTGACTTTGCCAGACTACAACGACATTGAGCTGTGGAACGATGCCATTAGCTCACCTTTCTCGGCATTGATATCAGACGGGAAGCATCATCGTGAGACGCAAGATCTCAGCCACAGACCTAACGAGATCGAACAGTGCCTCGTGCAGAGGCCGATTACAGTACACGAATGGGACAATTTGGTTTTCGACGAGGATTAATCATAATTTACAGGCAAATAAACTTTAAAGCGGCGTTTGGGAAAGAAACTAAGGTGACGAGCGTCCCTTTATTCATGGGGAATTCATCTACTGATAAGGCCGGGTCTAGGCCGTGTAGCGAGATATGCAATTCACAGCTTGGACTTGAGCGACGTTCCAAATCCAGCTTGCACCATGAGATTCGGCTTGTCTGCCGGCTTTGTCGGAATATAGTTGACCATGCGGCTTCCAGTACTAGTGAAGCTGAGGTAATGTGTTGTTAGATTGATTCTGTCTAAGACAACGTTTGGACCTTTGAAAACGTTCAGCCTATCGACTGGGAGCGCCTATGCCACGTATCGGCTGCTTCCTACAGTTGCCTTTCCTCGGCCTTCATGCAGTGGTGGTATCCCCACGACTCTCGACACGGGTACACAATTGAGACAATTCTCCGAAATTGCTCCACCTCTCCAGAAAGCTGTGCTGATCTAGTTCGCAGGGGTCCAACTACAGAAAAGTATGACAAAAGCACGGAGCGCAAGATTTCACTTCCACCGTGAACAGACTTAAATCCAAAGAGGTGCCTGATTTTGCAAAGCGGAATGAGGATCCATAGTTGTGAAATGTGAATGGGTGTCTGATCGCGTTTCTCTCATCTAGAGTCTTATTCTCCCGTGAATCTTTCCACAGAGCAAAGCGGGCGAAGAGGCAGATTTCTGGAGAAGTCTGGGACAAGATCAACAGGCACAATAGAGTCTAGCCTAGCGTTCGAGAGACGAAGCTGATATACAATTATTATGATAGTACTGTAAAGCGGGCATCGTTCTGGCTTCCTCTGTGTGATTTTAGAGAGATTTGAATTGGCACAGGTGTCTAATGATTTAATCTTCGAATACGAATTATCTTGTTAGCTTACCTAAGAATTAAATTTGCCCACCGTTGGCTGGTCTAAACTTGATTATATCCACGACATCTCCTGTCAATCGTTGCGCTCTCCACGACTTTTCTCGCCGCCAACCCAACGTCATATTAACGGTTTTTTGGATCACCAAAAGCGTGTTGTCGAGGTGTTGGCAAGATAGTGTGATTTAACTCGATCATATAAGATACGATCTTAATCCTATGAGCTTACAGGGCTCAATTGGATTATGTGTTGAGTTACTGTCAATAAACGTAAGGTCAATGTCGCTTCCACGGCCGAGGAGCATTGCTTGTGGCTCGGTCAGTTGACACCAGATTAGATGGACCAAAGTTTCGATGTTCGCAAACAGCAGTACTTCTTCATTCCGAGTCAACGGGCTTTCCGAAAGTTAGCAGGCCGAGACATGGCGTTGTAATGGTTGGCTAGGAGACAATGGAAATTTTATCGGGCAGCCGGCTCTTCATGAGTGGGCGTGCTGAGGACAAGGAGGCCTGTGTGACGGTAGGTTTGAAGATCAAGGGCCATGAAGCCATGGAGAGAGGGCGTTCTAGCTGCCGCTTAGGGCCAGTCGTCGAGACCACAGACAGTCACAGCCCTAATGTGACATAGACACCGGTCTGCCCAATCTAACCAAATCACAGACTACGGCATCGCCTGGCATGGGTACTAGAAGTGGACTAGTGGAACAAGCATATTGAATACAAGCCTCAGGCCCGAACTCCGTTGACTCTATGCGCGATGACTACCCTGGACTTAGCAAGAGCTCCAACGACAATCTAGGCACTCAGTGGTTGGGTTGGTCCACAACAGTAAGCTTTCAGCTAGCAGCAATATTCATTAACAAAACTTCACATTATTCCCCCCTAAAGAACGACGGTTTCAATGCTTGTGCGATGCGACAGCTTATTTAGGGCAAGCAAGGCGTGCGGCTCGTCCGACCATCGCTTCCCCTAGAGCCCTTGATATGTGTGGAGGGTGGGCACGAGTGCATGACCTGCGCCGCCGCCGGACAGTCTCAAACAACGGGCATGTCACGGATCTCATTGCCTCTGGCATGCCATCAATCAAGCCGCGCTTCTAAAACCATAATTTGACCACCTCAAATGTCCACGAATGCGATCTTTGTGCTCTGGATCGTGGGTATGCCGAGGGTATTGTTGTTTAGGACAATGGCAACCAACCCACCCATTTCCCCGGCAATGCAAAACAAATCATATCAAGCGGTCCCTCCCCCCCTGATTCGCTCGGGTGGACCAAGGGAGTCCGAACTCTCTATCGGATACAGAAATTATGAGTACCAGGACTATGCATCATCCGCCTAAATCTCAACCACAACTAGCACGGTAAGAATGTGCAGAGCTAGTGTCGATCCATATGGTCGGACCTACACGTCTTGCCCGCTTTTAGACACAATTTGCCTGGGCTGTCTGGATGTCCAGGCTTGCCGGGATTTTCCTTCTAGCCCCAAGAGAGTCTCCGAGCAAGTATGTTTCCATCAACATATATAATAGGGTTCTCACCATAAGTCTAAATCACACATCTTCACCTTCACTTTCATTCGAAATCCATTCTTTGCAACCTATCTCCATTCCCCACATATCGACAGATCCAAAGAAATGCAATTAATCCGTCTCCTCGTCTTGGCATTTGCCGCTTTCGTAGCAGCATCTCCATACTCGACCCTCAGTCATACTGAAGGCGGCAAAGGTGGAAAAGGAGGAAAGGGTGATGATGACGGTGATGATGATGGACCACAAACCTGCAACGATGCTCTACAAACTCTACCCAAGTGCGCAGTAAGTAACCAATCAGACAACACATCTTGCTAAATAGCGTTCACTGCATTGTGCACCCTTTAAATGATAAGCTGACAGTTATAGTTGCAATGTGTAATCCAACCTCCTATCGACGCTGGCTGCAAATCTGCTGCAGATTTCTCTTGCACTTGCGAACATGACACCAACAAAGCCATTACTAAACAAGAAACACCTTGTGTCCTCGACCACTGCAGTCTTCAAGATTCCATTGGAGCTTTGAAAGCCGGTCGTCTTATCTGCGATCTTTGCAACGTTCCTTCAAACGATACCGACTCCTACAATTAAGATTTTATTTTAACAATATTTCATTCCGATAATAGTTTTAATTGTATCATCATCGCACCGACAGGTCAACCCTCAACAAACACAAAGGCTCCGGACGATATTATTTTTAACCCCATGTATATAATTAACTGGATTGTTTGAGCTCAACGCGGGGCAGCATATATAGAATCGCGACTTTGAAATTTATAGATTTCAATTAATTTATTCAAATTCTCACTATTATAACGGACGTGACACGCGTAAAATTGTAGTGATGTGGCCAATGGTCTGCCAGACTTTCAGCTCCCCAAAAGAACTTATGATAACTTCGACCACATGACGCATTGACATCAAGGAAAGTCTTCGCCTGTGACGTACGTGCGTAATCGTGCTGTCTTCTCCAACTATGAACACCTGAAAGTCGCTCCGTCTGTGAGAAGTAAAACAGCTCATGAATGTGGCCTCAACTACAACTAGCGAGAATAAAGCGCACGGTTAAACTACACAGAGATACTAGGCTGCTTCGATATAGCATGTGTGTTACCGAACTGCTAATATATCGCGTTAGGTAAAGTTCCAGCTAGCAGCAAACACAGTCACTTCTATCACCTAAATACGCCTTGTTTCATGATTAAGGTAGATATGACAACTTAACTACAAGTAGTAGCACCTAGAATCCTCATATACTGTACCCTGGATTCTACTCGATAAACCTTGTGAAACACAATATTTCAACTCCTGTGTATTTCGCATACTCCCATCTCCTTATTGTCGCGCAATCCCAAGCCGCTTCAACCCAACAGAATGCGAAGCATTACGGCGCCGATCAAGCCCTGTGAAGCCCAGCGAATAATATTAGGCTTGGCATAGGTGTGCTAGGACCCGGTGGTGCATTAGGCAGGGCTTGTATTGACATGCAGATCAGCACGGGGCAGCTCACAAGAGTCGATCAGGCGGCCGCCCACAGCCAAGCTAGCTAGTCCTCAAAAGAATAAGTCAGTTGCAACATCACAAGGAGCGAATATGGCTTCAGGGGGGGCAGTCCGAGAGCCGGTCATTTTTTTCGCCCTCGCAACCTTTTGGCGGTTTGTGAATCGGAAATCGGAAATCTCGTGATCCGACTCACTGCTAGCAAGTCAACTTTTTTTTCGCCAGCCGTTTCTAGCCACAAAAGGGGATGATCAATGCGAAATGATGGATAGCCGGATAGGAGAGTCCCACTAGATAAGATTGGTCCAAAAACCCAAACATTAATATCTTGTTGTATGGAATTCATCTCCCCTAGTCAGTGCTTCAAAAACGAACACGATTACGCTAGGTGCTGGATATCCACCGAAGAGTCACCACGTAATCTTGCGTTCTCAACAACGACCCGATTCTAGACGAAGAACACTGGCGATCCGGCTCCACCCGTATCCTCTCGTTCTGTTCGGAGCGACCGAGCTGGCCCAAATATCAGAGAGAGAATGGGCCCCAAACAGTTCGAGCCTTGGCGAAAAAGGCTATGAAGATGAGTGCAGATCGTCCGCTTGGTCGGGTCACGACTATCATCTGGAAAGATTGGAAGAGTTGAAGATGACGGAAATATGGCAGATCCGGGTACCAAAGGCCCGAGTTAAAAGAGGCCTTGGCACCCAAACTTACTCTCCTCTGAGCTACCAGATACGCTCGTGCCTTCAAGTGAGCCGAGGTTGTCTACCTTAATTGCCAACGAGACCTGTATATCTTTAGTTATCCATGAATTCATTCTCTACTCAAGACACTGGGGGATCATTAAGTGGGAGATGCGCACTCAGCGCGTTGTTTACCGTGCCAACAGATTATGCACCCCACCACGGACGATGCCAGCGTATAGATATGCGATCACCATCTGGAGGAGGACAAAAACTCAACATCTGTCCACGGCTAATCTGTTAGAGAAATACTCTCTCAGTGCAAAGCTCAGTCAAATTTCGCAATACCATAGGAGTTTGCCCACGAGGCGATAGTTTAAGAAACTCCACCATGTCCATCCCTCATTGCCAACACCATCAGTTCCCAATAAAAAGTCATCGAGTTTACAACTACGACTGATTACAATCTTATTCCAATGATCACACCACTCTCCGAGCTTCTCTGGCCTCAGTTGACCACCAAATACGCGCCAACGTCAATATAAATATCCGCATGAAGAAATAAAGCGTGGCGCACGAGTCTGGGAGGCAGGTCTTTGAGATGGGCCTGAGAGAGAATTAGATAAGTAGACAAGACGATGTAGACGATGGGTACAATTTCGACAGGAGTGAAACCTGGAATTTTGATAAGGAATATTCGAATTGAGCCTTGTGCGCGCCAAGGATTCGCTTGTGAGGGTGCAGCTGACACTAAAAACAAGCAAACGATGGAAGGTGCCGTGGTTCGCCTCTTGGTGGAGTTGTCCAGTACAGTTTGAACATCCGGTAGACCTACTCCACTTGAGAGGAAGACGCTTCAGACTAGACTTCGCGCGAAGAAAAGTCAATAGATGATGGAGGCATGTCTTTATAACCCAGGGTTTTTGAGACATTCCCCTGAGTTGGTATTCACGGATGAGGATTGAGTTTGGGTGAAGAAAAAGCCATCATAACTTCGCAGTGGTACTTGCAAGTGAAATCCGAGGCATGGGTGCTCTTCCTTTATATTGAGTCATCTATTATGTAGTTTGCTTTGATATTATGTCACAGCTAGATAGCTGCATACACAATCACAGTCTGATGCAAAATAAAGGTAGGACTGAGATGGGACGATGTTCGTGCCAACGGTAGTTATTCTGCTTTGGCTCGTTCATACTTGCGCCGAAACTATTGAAATAGTGCACGACGGAAAGTTAACGTAGATTGAGCTGGTTAACACGAGACCTTGCAGTTATGTCGTCAGCTAGCACGACACCAAATGAAAAACAATCGTATGCCAAAACTTCCCTTGGGGGCGGAAGGTGCCAATTACCTGGCACTTTGGCTTAAATGTATTACTTGAGTTAATGAATCTCTAGCACGTTAGGCCCATATCTAGCCCAAGCCACACTTCGTGCATTGCTCCGAACCTATTTGTTCCGGAAAAAGATATCTTTTTTGCTTTCCGTGATGGATAGTTATTAAGCACGGTATTTACCTATTGACCCAGCCATCTTCCCAGAGGAACCTTCTACCCAAAACAAAACGGTCGCGCTGGAAAGCAGGGATAATTTTTTTTAACTCATTTAAGTGTATTCAGCTACAGAGCTATGACGCCTGACTGGTGCTATGTTTACATGTTGGATAACTCTTATGACATTAGAGACACCCATACTCTGGATTTCATTTGCAAATACCACTATGAGGTATGCTTGCTTGCACAATCAGTCGACCCACCTCCGTAAGTACTCAGCAAAGGGAAAAGCAGGGATAGAAAGGAGCGTGAGGAATATGTGTATTTCGAGATGCCCGTTTATCCCTCTATTTACCGACCTCGTGACTGATTATCTTCGTACTTTGCAAACACCGAGGCACAATATGCCTAGCTCTTCTCGGGTATTGACCTCACGTGATGACGAAGTCGGGATAGAGATCAGCAGGAGACAAGGACCGGCCCCAGACCAAATTAAAAGTGATGCGGGAGGTGATGACATAAATAAGCCCGGCAGGGAGATTGGTAGATCATAATTAGCACACTCCATATGGGCCAGATACCAGCATGCTGGCCCTGCACTATCTCGTCAACTAATCTTACTCGGCCGGTAGCATGGTGAAAAGTGACGGTTGTCGTTCGTGTAATAGGTACGTGAGGTCTACAAGCATGAGAGGTGTTTGCTAACCTCAGAGACACGGATGTAAAGTGCGAGTGATGGAGCTTATATTCACGACCATACATGGATGTGGGAAGTCGGAGTGATCCAGGGTCCGGGTAGGGGAGAGTCCACAAACATGTCAGCTGGATGACGAGCGGCTACAGACCAGGATTCCCGAGTGTGGTGGAATTTGGGAAAGCAGATGCCTCACGTGACGTGGGTATTCGGGTAAGATATGACTCCAGCAAACATGTTATGAATCTGAATCACATGTTCATAGCCTTGGCGTTTGCGTAATGGGTCTGTTTGACAAAAGCATGTGCATAACACTTTTCACTACACATTTTTACTTAGACAGTATCATATACGAGCTACATTATTTATCAACAATAATATCTTCTCCACATATCTCTGTCACATATTGTACACTTTCACAACAAAACACAGGCCTGCTCATAACGTGCGGAAGCGGAAACAGAGCACGCACAATTGGCTCTTTGGCACGACGGATATCGGCTCTCGTACTACTGCGTGGCCATTGCGGTTCGGAATGGTCATTGAACTTGCAGTCCATGACAACGATTGATGCCTCTCAGCCTGTCGGCACACGACACGCGAGCCGCCATCAGCTCCCATGCCGTCGGGCAGCTCTTTACACTTCTACATCGCCCGGTGAGGACATATTCCCTCCACTACCTGCCTCCTTCGAATAATCGTGGGCCCGACTCTAGCTGGGCATATGATTGCGGGAAATTCTTGGTCCGATCAACTGGTTTCGAGACTCATCAGTGCAAACGTCAATGCTAGCCGGCAAAGACGAATGAATCACCTCACGGCGTTGGTGTGGTAGCGCTGTATGCTCCGCGTAGCTGGAATAGCCGAGAGGACCGGCCTCAGATGTCTAAACCTCAGTGAGCATTCCCTCGCGCTCTCGCGACCCGTATCTTCTTCATCTCTCAGCACAATCCCCCCGCACCATTATCATGAAGCCAGTCACGATCGAAGCGATGCACAACTTCTACTCACTTTTCTTGGGCGTGGAAGGGAAACAATTTAGTCAGGATCCGGAGCCTACTCAGCCCCCGATAGGCCGGTGATTGAATTGATAGGTCTCAACTCTTTTGTGACGAGGAAGGGAGATATGGATGGATGCACCCATCTCATGTGGCTCTGATATCAAGGCATCGCCTGGCTGCGGCTAAAGGTGCCTTGAGAACCTTCCGGCCCGCAAGCAATTTAAATCACTACTCAACATTTCTTCAGGTGTAGCAGATGACATGGAACGAGGGCAACGGGTAATTGCCGGGCCAATTGGAGATTCATCACGGTTAGTTTTTCAGACAGTTTTTTTTGGGAGAAGAAATCTTTGAGCCCTCTTCAAGGCATGACCCGGGTTAGAGCTTAGTCCAATAGGTCCGGTAGTCACAGAGTGAGCTAGCACAATGAAATCTAAAGCGAAACCAGACACCTGTTCGAAATCCGAAGCTATACCTGAGGATCCTGAACTACGAGTCTAGGCGAGATGCCGAGTTTCAAGACCAAGACGAGTCTGCATCCCACTCATTTACCACTGTATTCTAATAGCTCACTTTGCTATGCATTGTTGATCGTTGCATTATCTGGAGCATGGGGAATTCCACGTATTTAAGGAGTTACAACGTTGGTAGAAATACAAGTTTACGCCTAGTCTCAAGCTCTACACACACGTAGATTGCCGCAGTCGAAGCTACGAGTCATCCGTCAATTTCAGTCAACATTTATCATTTCATTCTTACAAACCTGCACAAGAAACCTCATAGCTACCAATGCGAAGGATTCCGGCGGGCCGGCTAGTTGGGCGCTGCTGACTCTGAAGTACAAAGTTATCTAGTTTACGCCTGGCTAGAATCATTTTACTTTCTTGCATCATTCACACCTCGGCACAATTAAGGGTTGATCTCGGAAGGCCTAAACGTTTTTGACAGATAAGTAGCGTAGAGTGGATTAGCTTCCTAGCACCGTCTTGCAAAGTGGAAATTACTGTAAACTCATTGATATTAGAAGTCCTTCTGGATATATTAGTAATCAACTGTCATTTTTCCGACTCTACATGAGGGCTTGGGGATTTTGGGGTCCTCCGCCATCTTTTGCTAAATTTTTTTCCTCTGGGTAGACTATCGACAATACAAAACCTTCGGATGACTAATTGTCTGCGTCAGATTATGATTGCGTATGCAGATCTCTAGCTATAGCACAATATCAGGGGCAATATAAAGAATAGATGACTCAATGTAACAATAAAGCACTCATACCTCAGATTTCATTTGCAAGTAGCAATACGAAGTTGTGGTGGCTTCCTCTGCACTCCGAGTCAACCCTTAAGCGTAGATGCCCACCCAGGGAAACGTCTCGTTTACCCTAAGTTGTTCAGACTTGCCTCCATCATCCATTGACTTTTCTCCGCGCGAAGTCTAGTCTGAAGCGTTTCCCTCACAAGCGGAGCAGGTGTCCAGGCTGCTCAAACTATCACGGAGAACAACGCCAGGAGGCAGACCAAGGAATTCAACGTCTTCGGCTCGTTTTTATAGTGTCGCCTGCACCATCGCAACCAAAGTTTTGTCGTACACAAGGTTCAATTCGTATAACTCCTTATCAAAATTATAAGTTTCATGCCCGTCGGGATTGTACCCATCGTCTGCATCATTATTCGAACTTATTCTGAGCCCTCTCACGCCTATCCCAATTTCTCCCAGACTTGTGCGCCCCGCCCTGCTTCCTCCTGCAGGTGTAAATATCGAAGTGGGCGCGTATCTGGTAGTCAGCCGAGGCCAGAGACAGTTGACAAGGGATAAGGTGAGGTGAAGTCATTGAACCGTGATTTACCAAGTTAAATTATAAGCTTGATGATTTTTTGGTGGTAACTGATGTCGTTGGGAATGAAGGACTGACGTGACAGAGCATCTTGAATCATCGCCACGTGGGCCAAATTGGTATTACGAAATCTGACTGAACATGGCACTGGGAGCATAGTTCACGCCGAGGTTGAGGACACGACGGAGAGGTTTTCAGTTGTTGCCTACATCCAATAGAGGTCATAGCGCGCACAAAGCTCTTCACTAGATTCTCTTAGTGCTGACTGAAGGCTTTTCTTTTGATTTGTCAGACGGAAGGGTTGGGGCTTGTTGGGTCATCACTGCTGGGTAGGCCATATCTCGGTGTCTGGTTAGTAAACAAAGCAAGTTCAGATAAAGACGTTCTAATTATCTTCTATTTGCGACACTTTTTGGTTTGTTTTGTTCATTAACGTGCTAGGTTACATGGCTACTGTTGCACTCCTATTTAAGCTTAAGCACGAGTGGGGTTGGGCAGGATCAGGTTAACTACCGTGAAGTACAGATAAACCTCGTCCCACTTCAATGACCGGAACACCTCAGACTTCACCTATATGTTGAATAATGTCAAGCCCAACCGTCCAGAGAACCCTCTTTTGGCGCGCCGAAGCGCAAATTCTCCTCAGCCTCGGCCACCACGCGCCCAAGCCCTTGACGTCCTCATTGACTCCGATATATAAATTTCGACCCAGATCTTTTCGTTGCTCTAGCCTTGCACCTTCATATCGTACCGTCGGGTTGTTGTCGTCATTGGGGATTTGTGCGATCCCCTAGGTGTGTGTTCCCTTTTCTTCCTCCTTTGTACACGTCCCGTTTCCATCATGACTTTCATCATTAGGGCGTGTGTAGGTTGGTGATCGGACGAGTATGGAGGTGGGTCGCAGGTATAGGATCGATTGTGAAATGCTTCGTCGCAAATATATAAGGACTTTGAGAGATTTCGGATGTTTGAACAAGACCCCCATATAGACCTAGGCCCATTCGTGAATCGTATATTGGTGGTGATGAGTTTTTAATCGACTTTGTTCCGGCTGTGAAATCCTGCAGACTCATTTTTCGACCAAGATATCGAGTGCAACTCCTTCAAGTCGAAATTCATCAAATAAAATTCGTCCCACCCTTTTCCGTGACTGAATCTCGGCTCTGGGATAATATTTCGCTCCCAGGTTCGTAGAGGGCACCACTGACAAATGTTCAGTCTTCGCCCTCATCTATTTACAACTTTCATGCATCCATGGAAAAATTATTCAAGGCTGACTATTCAGCCCTGTACCAATATAGCATGCCAAGACCTAGATCCGAAGTCTTGTCGAGCCGAAATACCAGATATAACTAGTGGTTGACAGATACTATTAAACATCACACAACAATCGTCAATTGTTTTATGTCTCTCTCTCAACGTCAAAATTTTTCTGCCGTCGGGAGGTATTTCTACATGGTGTGCACTGAGTGTGTTACACCTCTCCGTTGCTGAGTCATTGTCTTGATGACCCAGCTAGTACAACGAGCCCTAGGTTCATAATGTTCTTAGAGACAAAAGACATAATACACACCTCACTTTTGTACCTTTTGTTTTGCATAAAACAAACCTTGCATATAAGTAAATTAAGACCAACCGACACTGATCGTTAGTCCACAGGCGACTACAGAATAGCAAGGTTGAAGAGACTGCATTTTCTTTCGGCACTCTTCTCTAGGCAGAAGACTAGATCTTTTATGTAAGCCACGACAAGTGGAGGAATCTGCAAGTGCTAATACATCGCGAAATCGTAAGCTCTACTGCTACACGCGGAGATAGTGGCCCCTTCGATTCGCCCGAGAGAGGTCAATTTACTGGTTGAAGCAGTATTTCCCAGCAGATTGATTCGTGTCATTCACATGAACAACAAACAATAAGTTTATTCATTGGACTTGTGCAGACCAGCCCGTTCTGAAGCATAGTCCAGAACATCACTGGCTCTTACTCCAATTCTTCTCTTTATCAATTTATATTACGATTTGCTTCGGGTTTTCTTGCGCCATTTTGCAACAAACATCCACCGTTTTGCGCATCATTTAGTGCAACATATTTTCCGCTTTATTTTACCATTTGACAAGCATTCTCATTATTACTTGTTCTTTAGCAGTGCCCAGCTCACAAGACTTTGCCGGCCAGAAGTCATTGTCTGAAAACTCACCAGAACCACTCCACATACCAAAAGCAGAGGGATCGTCGTCTAATATGGATTTGGATCACCAAGAGAAATAGTTGCTTGAATTGATTGAAGGAACGTCTGTGGCATACAGAAAAAAGGGTTCCCAAGTATTGTCACTTGAGTACTGGAACAAAGAAGCTATTCTTAACAACGACTCCTCTTCCATAACCATCACCTCATTTGCTATGGCATTTTTTGCAGACTGGGATTCAATTTCAGAGGTCTACAGCTCCTCAACAATTTAGGATGAGCTTTTAGACTATTTAGGTCACTGGATAGAGGCAATGTTTGAAAGAATTGCAAGTCCGTACAAACAAACCTTGGGTGAAGCGTTCAAAAGACGCGGCTTAAAGGCGGATCGTGTAAGCGTAGGCAAATGGATAATTAAGATACTTGATGACGAAAACTTTATTGCTCCGGGTGATGATTATGATACAAACCGACAACCTCCACCACAGATGTCTTTACAACCTCCCACCGATCAAATTCCGCTACCACCGCATTTACACCAACACCAACAGCTTCCTCCATATTTCAAACCATAAACCTCTATTGCAACATCCTCAGCCCTCACTCCCACCACAAGCTGAACCTCGCCATTCTATGGAGGCTGCTCGCCGGCAAAGACGAATTCTTCACCTTTCAGTGTTGCCGGTGTAGTCGCTTAGTAAGCTCTGCATATCTGGGATAGCCAAGAAGAATCGCATCCGAATTGAAATCGAAAGCAAACACATGCATATCTCCATTTGAAGACTTTTCAATCATTTAGCACTCACCACTTTCTTCTGAGTTCTCAACCTCTTTCCAACCACATATCATCTCGCCTCAACGGCCGATAAATGCGTCACCCCAATTGCAAACAGGAGCTTGCCTCATTTATTACCGGCCATTACTCACTACAAATTTACGACACTACGTATACCCGCAAGGAGGAAATTAAGTCATAATATACAAAGTTGGGGTCTTGGTTTATGGGGGACTCATGCTCTAATGGGAAAAATAACTTGAGGAAGGACAGGCGGCTGAGATGTAGAGCGAGAGAGGAAATGGGTATCTGAAGACCATTCTGGGACTGACATTTTCGAGGGGTTTCGACTTTGGATTTTGTGTGGGCGCCAAGACCAAGATTTAGGCTAATTAGCCAGGAGGGCTTCTATTATCGACGAGTCAACGCCACTCCCCAGTGCCCTGGACAGCACAAAAGAAGTTGGGCTTGGCTACCGCACAGCATCCACGCTTTGTCAAGACTTTCCTGACATTTCAGCACGACCTTTGGGATAGAGCTGGAAGGGGGCTAGAAAGGCAGAGTGTGAATTTCCCGAGGTACCCACAAGTCTGCAGTGCCCAGCTGGCCGGTCTCTTCGAACACTATAGAAGGGCCACTATGTCTCCGGACTTAGTCCTAATGTCAGTATTAGAAGAGCCCCTGCACCCAGTGGTCTTTGCGATTTTTCCCGGCTGCCATATATCCGCAAATGGCTATCGTCTCGTCGGCTGGAGAGGGGAGATAATGAAGGGCAAAGGGCTTCTCTAGGTGTATGACCGAATGAAGACTTGTGAGGGGTGGCACTGTTTGAGGGGAGCTGTATAGGAGGGGATACACTACCGGCATAGGTATCCTTGGCCTGTAGGCAGAGAGGACCATCATGTCCCACATAGTTATGTATTCAGAAAGGACAATAAAATGAATCAATAATATGGAGGCTGCTCAGCACCACCATCAAACAGTAACTCCCACACAGCCAGTGCAAGAAAATAACCTTTTCTCAATAATCCATAGTGACCATGGGGAATCCGACGAAAATACAACATATCGTCTGACACCACAACTATCTGTTCAATCTACTTAAGCTGACAAGAGGATTGTTTACTCTTGGGATGACTACGCTGATTTACCACCTCGAGAAATACCTGCTCCTCAAGCTAACACGAACCTCCAAACGTGGTTTATGAAAATCTGGAAGCAAGATGATCATGTTATTGATGGAATGTATCACCTATTTGACCACAAAACAAGCCACTTCTTCAGCGTCTGTTACAGCGTTGGTTTTATGCCAACTCAGTTTGTATCTCTCTTCCGAATTATCTACACTGGAAGTGCTCAACACTTCTACTTAGCAAATATCGGCCAAAAAGAAAGTTGTAGAGGCATGTACCACAAGTTAAAACGTCCTAAGATATGGAGAAATATTCTTATGCAAGAAAAGGGAGGATAACCGTAAGTGTGCAATTGATTTACGTAAGAATGACATCAACATAACGCCTGGGCCTACGTTCGAAATTTCCAACAAGATAGAATTCAATGACCTTATCGGCGCTGGTGTATATTATTCGAGCTCGACAGCCCTGCCGCCCCCTTTGGTCGTTTCTCTAAGCTACAAATGGTCCGCAAAATCAAGGTGATATGGAGGAATCATATGTTCTCACAAAATTTACCACTATTCAGAGCATATCTTAAAGTCTCCAACATGTCATCGCAAATCTCATCAAGTTTTATAACTGTAAAGCCTTCACCCGTGACATTACGTAAGCATACGTACAGTCAAATTCCAGTCTACAAAGACGTACGTTTGGGTTGCTACCAGGCGAACTACTATAGAAGTATCTAGATAACACTATCAAGCTTAGAACTTTGTCAATTGGCTTTTTTAGAGAATTAAGTAACAGGTGTCTTCACATCAAAAATTTATTCTATTTTCTTTGTTTGCATCTCATTAGCACTAAAATATAAATTATGGCAAGGAGTTGTGTTTTTAAATCTTATGTAATGGGTCCTGTGCAGTTTGTTGGTTTCTTTGACCATAAAGAAAAACTGCACCTGTTGGAAAGTATTTTTACTTGGTGTTCACTAAGTGTGTCGCACCTCTCTGTTGCTGGGTCATTGTCTTGATGACTCAGCTAATACAACTAACTCTAGGTTCATGATGTTCTTAGATGGAGACAGAAGAAATAGTACACACCTCTCTTTTGAACCTTTCGTTTTGCATTGAGCAAACCCAATGTATACGTAAATTAAGGCCAGTCGACAGCTTCACTATAAAAATGACTCTCGAAATACTTCGACTTCGACTCAGTCATATCGCCAATTGTCTGCGTATGACTCGGGCGTAGCGGGGGATAAAACTCAAAACCTATCTTTAGTGTCCCTGACGAACTTCAAGCTCAGAGGACAATGACTGAACACCTGTGCACGGTGTTCTCTACGAACCTTGGAGTGAAAAATTCTCATAGAGTCAAGTTTAGTCGAACTTAGCAATACCAATGAAGTTGGCCCACGAGGCAATGATTCAAAATACTCCGCCACGTTAATTATTCACACCCAACGAGTTCGAATTCTATCCAAGCCTCATCAAGTCTACAAGTACGACCTAGTACATCCTCGTTTCAATGACCACACCTCTCTCCGACCTTCTCTGGCCTCAGTTGACCACCAAATACACGCCCACGCCGATATTCATACCCGACGGAGGAAGCAAAGCGTGGAGCACAAATCTGGGAGAAAGCTCTTTGGGATGGACGTGAGAGGGATCAGGACAAGTTCAAAAGATGATGCAAAGGAAGGGTACAAATTCGACGGGCGTGTCATTTTGAATTTTGGCAAGAGTTTTACGAATTGAGCTTTGTGCGCGCCAAGACTTCGCTTGCGAGAGTGCAGCTGACACTATAAAATTTAGCAAACGATGAAAGGGTCGTGGTCCGTCCCCTGGTGGTATTCTCCGGCATAGTCTGAGTTGGCTGGGCACCTACTCCGCTTAAGAAGGAGATGCCTAAGATCGTATTTCGCGCGGAGAAAAGTCAATGGATGATGGAGGTATTGAAAGGTTTTGCTGATCTGGAATGACGTACCGTTAGGATGAAGGTATGGAAGGAGGTAGCTATGGCTTTAAGAGAAGTAAAGTTCGTGAGTTATACTCTTAGGACTTGGATCAATTGACGAACTTGAGGATATTCCCTAGTATTCTCAAGTGTGTGAATAATATGGAGATTGTTTGAATTTCCTATTGTATGAGTTGCTTTTTGTTATCTACGTGACAGGACCTTCTTCTATATACATGAATAAGGGGGTTCTGCACACTAGTGGATGTTCCAACATCTGTCCTTGTCTAACCGAGAAAGGAAGGATGTGAGAGATCCTAGCGCCAATAGATACCATTAGGAATCTATTGGGAAATACTATGTCATACCAATGAGTGATGATCTAGGTCAATCATATCCCATGGCGCATGTGCACATTATTCTAATGTGAACAGTTTATTGTAATGCAGTCATGTTACTCCCTTAATTACAACAGGAGGCATGTCTGGATAACTTAGGGTTTTTGAGGCGCTCCCCTGGGTGGGTATTCACGGGTGAGGGTTGACTTGGAGTGAAGAAAGAGCCAGTATAACTTCGCAGTGGTACTTGCAAATGAAATCCGAGGCATGAGTGCTTTATTTTGATATTGAGTTATCTACTATGTACTCTTCTTTGAGATTATGTCATGGTTAGGTAACTGCATACACAATAAAAATCTGATGCAAAAAAAATCCACAAGACAACAATCGCCTTCCACACACAATATTACCACAACCATCTAAGTATATTTCAAGCCCCCTGAGTATTTCCAACCGTTTAATTGAAGATACCAAGTGAATACGACCATATACACTACCACCCTTCAATACTTGCAACTATAGCCTCAACCCTGAGGGGACACGGTGACTAATGAATCTTATATTACAAAACATTATACGTGGAGGCAGGAAAACGTTAAGAAAACCGTCTAAAGAAAATACCAGCACTGTACAGCGAATCACTCACATGAAATATATCAAACAGCGCAGATCAGGCAGATTTCTGACAGAAATCTAGTCATCTCTAATAGGAAAGAAAATCGATTAGCACCCCAGGCAGTGCCGAGAAGAGGTTCGGGATTATCCAAGATATGGAAGTGGCCATAAGATGCCAGTCTCCGTCAAACAAGGTAGCAGAAAGCTAAATGGTTCAAAGACTTGCTACCCCCTCAGGAACAAGTCATGAGAGCATCGACACGACAGAACTTATCATGATAAGCACGAAAGTCTCTGTGTCCAGTCTGGCACTGATTTAGATACCCCAGGGGCCTCTGCTACTGTTTTTCGTTCGCGCATTGCATTATGATCCTGTATGTGCACCGACCAAGTGTTAATTTGTTAATTTGTAAATCTCGACATCTATTTCTTCTGCTTTGGTTTAGAATCATATGAATTATATTCCTAGTTTGAGTCTAAGACGATGAAGGACCTTCAGAATCCACGAACCAAATCCTCGCCACTTCTTTACTGTTAAAATGTAGTGATTTAATCTTTTCCCATAGATGCTGAGGCTCATGGCCAGGATTAAATCATAGTGCAGATCTTCGATAACATATCTCCACAGCCTCTCTTGTCGCCTACAAATATCAAGGCTAATTTGGGTTCATTGCTTAATTTTATGAGAGCTTCTATCGTTTTCCGCGAGCCGGAGATTCCTTAGCTCTACGGAAATGCGTGGAAGTTTATGTTTGTGGAAAATGTCTTCGCTGAAGGCAGCGTATAGGAGAGAACCCGACTCATAAAGAGCTAGGAGAGAGAATTGATTGTTAATAAATGTTTCTATTAAATATGGCTTGCTATCTAATACTAGTTTTGCCGGATCTTTGTCTATCGAGTCTACTCCAGCCCGGCGAGAGGAGCTATAGCCTCTGGGTGTTTGGACTTCATGGAAATTTCGATAACAGCAATCTCCCCATCGTTGAGAGGGTCTCACAGTCCTTGCATGAGCGCTTTAGCAATCTTATGGTCAAAGGTGGTTAATTTACAATATATGGTGAACTAAAAATTGAAGAGGATAATGACAGCTACTTTAAACATGATTCTTATCCCGGCCATTGACACAGCTTTCTATCTGCATATCCTTTCTCGTATACCACTCTTTGATAGATATGAACCATATTCCACTTGACCAACTATTGCAAAATACAAGTACATACATAGTTAGAAAATTTGATAAAACCTCATGCTTCTGCACTACACAATCTTGTGCTCTACAACCGTGTCAATCTTGGAGGGTTTAAACTAGTCACATTGACAGGCCTTCACAAATGCACACGGGGGTAGTGGTGCTCGTGAATCGACTTGTATTTCGAGGAAAACTAAACTAGGGGAGTTCAGTTAAGAGGACAACAAAACTTATGTACAACTACTATCCGCGCATGCCTCCGTTCTAGGCGCCCTTCGCTTAACCACATGACCTGTAAAGATTCGAAATCGGCTGCTACCAGGTTGTGTACATGGCACCTGAGGTCTGGCTTAGGCTGTCACACATATTACCACTTGTAAGCTCCTGCTCCCGGGAATAGTCTCCACATAGTTTTTCGCTAAGCCGGCTGTAGAAAGCGCAGGCTACAGGCAATCTCCGGCTTACTAGCCGTCATAGAGACTTGCCGCACCTTTCACACTGGTTCATGTCAATTCGTTTTTTCCTTTCGGCCTGGGAAGCTTCCAGGGGTAAAGGGCGCTCATCATTTTCTTACCCTTACTATATGGCAACTTTGCGTTGATCCTTTTCAACACTGCTAGTATCGCCTAGGTCTAAGCCTCAATGTGGCTTTGAAAAGAGTTTACATCAACCATGTGTACATTGCCATCTTGGTCAAACCGTGCTCTAGACCGATAAACTCTGCTAGAAGATTTGATTGTCCGAAAAGCCTATTGGTTCATGTCTGTGGAAGGCTAAGTTTTTGTGAAGTTTTTTTCGTTGCAAACAATTCTTGATCCGAGTCACGGATCGAACGAAGGCTAATAATTGATTTCAGCTCTTTGGCGCGGCTTTGACCTTCCTAAAATAAGCTCTCATAATTGGTTTCGGAAACCCCTCAACGGGGGCTATTCCCTGCCGAAGGTGTGAAGCTGGCACACACTCTATAGCATTAAGCTTAGATGCATCAACTTGCGCGAATAATCTGTTTTAGAGAAAAGCTGCTCGAAAATAGACCTAAACTTGGAGAAAATCTATCTCGGTCCTTAAAGAAGGGCGTTTATTTTAGTCTAGCCCTAGTAGTTGCGTCCCTATCAACAAATAGGTCTTCCAGATGGGATGTAAACCTTTTACTACTTCAGTCGTCTGCTCTTTTCTGAAGCCTCATCTACAGTGCAACTCGACGCTGGGCTGCGGCGATAAGAGATTGAGAAAGTAACGAATTGCAAAAGAATTTATCGTTTTTATTCTCTTTTGCGGCTCCTTCGAGGCTGATATGGAAGGCGTGAAAGTCTGCTGAATCTCTCGACCATTTTTGCTAACGAGTCATAGGCTTAGATAGTCCTGGGTTTTGATAGTTACCCTGGCTATTCGATATCTTAATGATTAACTAGGGTGCTAGCTCTGTTGAAGGTAGCTGGGGTGCTGGCTGAGATGTAGCTAGTTGAGACGATGTCCTCAAGGCTCATAAGTTTGATTCTTGAAAGAAATAGATTTTCTTGAGGTAGTCGTCAATACCGTGAGAAATCGCAGGTGTGGCTATAAGATAATAGAAAAGATATAGGAAATCAGAATATGTCACAATATTAGTACGTGATCTGGAAGATCGAACGAATTATACTCTGATTTCCTAAAATACTGATAACACAAGAACAGCTAAAATGCAGGTTGAGAGTATCTTTTAGAGAAGGACATTTTACAGGCATATGAATAAGCTGTCCCTGAAACCATCATTGCATATGAGCCGTATACAGTGAGTGGGAGAAGTTTTTACACTAGATCCCGTAGAACCGCCGAGCGAGGAGGAAGGACGGGTGGCGAAGTGGCCGGGCCTGAGACTATGTATTGCGCTTTGGCATCGGAATAGAGTGCCATATTTGCCGCTGTTTCGGCGGTGCAACCTCTTTTTTTTTTTTTTTTTTGCATCAGATTTTAATTGCGTATGCAGCTATCTAGCTATGACACAATTTCAAAGAAAAGTACAGAAAAGATGCCTCAATTTACAAGAGGAGCACTCATGCATCAGATTTCATTTGCATGTACCACTGCGAAGTTATGGTGGCTTTTTCTTCACCCCAGGTCAACCCTCATCCGTGAATACCCACCCAGGGGAACGTCTCAAAAACCCTGAGTTATCCAGACATGCCTCCATCATCTTTCAACTTTTCTACGCGCGAAATATGGTCTGAGGCGTCTCCTTCCCAAGTGGAGTAGGTGCCCAGGCTACTCAGACTATACCGGAGAACACCACCAGAAGGCGGACCACAACACCTTCCATCGTTTGCTTGTTTTTGTAGTGTCAGCTGCGCTCTCGCAAGCGAAGATTTGGCGCACACAAAGCTCAATTCGTAAAACTCTTGCCAAAATTCAAAATGACACGCCCGTCGAATTTGTATCCTTCCTTGGCATCATTTTTTGAAATTATCCTGATCCCTCTCACGTCCATCCCAAAGAGCTATCTCCCAGATTTGTGCTCCACGCTTTGCTTCCTCCGTCGGGTATGAATATCGGCGTGGGCGTGTATTTGGTGACCGGCTGAGGCCAGATAAAGTCGACGAGAGGTGTGGTCATTGAAACGAGGATGTACTAGGTCGTACTTGTAGACTTGATGAAGCTTAGTTGAGAATCGGACTCTCTGGGAGTGAAAGATTGACATGGTGGAGTAATTCGAAATTTTGCCTCGTGGGCCAACTTCTTTGATATTGCGAAATTTGACTGAACTTGGCTCTGGGAGAATATTTCACTCTCAGGTTCGTAGAGGACACCGCGTACAAGTGTTCAGTCTTGCCCTCTAGGTGCATCTTCATTCGGCCTCGAGAATTGATCGAAATTCAAAGGGGAAATCTGCTTTGGTGCAGCCTTCTCTGACCGAGTCAAAACGGTCAGAGAAGGATTTGACGTTCCTCCAATCCCGAGGTGGATGAAGGATCATTGAGTAATTCCTCAACAATTTCAACTGACCCGATCATGTCAGTATCGGGCTCGTTGAATATGGGAAGGGGGTTTTCCTTCCCTTTCGAAATAGCCTGGCTTATCTCCACATATTTCGGAGTCTGGGCATGTCCAGGTAATGTCGTGAGAGCCCTCGAGCGGACTATCGAGTTGTGCAACTTTGAGTTAGGGAGCTTTATTTCGGGCCACTGGCATGATTCCAATGCCAGCGGCCAGATCAAAATTTTCTTTATAGAATGCCTCATGTAGTCGCCCACCTAAGCCACCTCAATTTTTGTTCATTTTTTTTCCTATACTGTGGCTTTTATTTAACCTTTCCAACAATCTTGTCATCTCAGAAGATTTAGAGACTATCTATCTTCTGGCCTCGCCCGTCGCCGCCACCTCCTTTGCCATGGAGGCCGAAAATACGTTGAAGAATTTGAGATTGACGTATCAGCAAGTTTTCAATGCTCTGGAAAATGTACTAGCGAAATGTGGCAAATTATCGTTAATGGCTATACTTTGCAGGTCAAGTTATTGGTACACTTGGTCCAGGTATAGATGAATTAGGCAGATGTTTCGACTTTACTTACATAAAGAGCAGCATTTACAGAGAGATAGTTGTCTTCTTGTACCTTAGACCTTTATTGTAACTTCTAGATTTTGGAATTCTTCTGTAAGTATTTGGATAATTTTGGTCAGGGTTAAAAGGTAAGTTTAACCGAGAAGTTTGATCCAGAAAAACTTGGGATGACAAAAAATGATGGTTATTGTAATAGGAATATCAGGCAAGTTCGAAATGAAATGAAGTTTTATTCGTGACGGGCACAAACCCTGCAGTCATAGGGCATGACACGGAGAAGACTAGCCTCTCTGACGACTATATACGACGATAACTCAGTTTGAAGTTTAGACTACTCATCTAGTGGTTGCATTCGCTGATACCACTCGATACCTTTGTCCTAGGGATTTTCGCCCTTCCCTCAACCGTTAATATCCACCAAAGGGAGAACATAAAAAGCCTTTGGCTACCCTTATGTACCATTGTCATCTTGTATATAGCCGCCGCGCGAGATATGGCCTCACAATCCTCCCTCTCTCGAGTGACGTAGATGTCTAGGCTACCTAGACTTTAATTCGAGGAGATGACAACCAGAAGGCAGACCAAAACACCTTCCATTGTTTCCTATTTTTAGAATTTTGGTTGTACTATCTGAAATCGTTGCCTCTGCGCCCACAGACACTCGTCAGTCAAAAAACTCAAAAAAATGAGCGTCTCAGCATGCACATTGGTGACCTCTTCACTCGTTCCTCCCACGTCCTAGCTACCAGTCCTTCCTCAATATGTGAAGCCCCATTAGAGCAGCGGTACCCCATAGACCAAAACACGAGCTTTGTAGATTATGACTAGATTTACTATTCGCGGATATATATAGCAACGTTTATTTGTAGTGGGAGATGGCCGGTTTCTGATGAGGTTAATGGCCGTTTGCAAATGGAGTAACGCTATTATCAGTATTTGAGGCAAGGTGGTGTATTAAGATTGAGGTGGAGGACTCGTGCGAGAATGATAGGTCTGACATTGACGAGAAGTCGTCGACTTAAGATATGCTTGAGGTTGCTTTCGACTTCGATTCGGATGCGATTTTTTTTTAGCTATCCCAGATATGTAGAGCATACTGAGCGATTACATCGGTACCAGTGGAAAGTGATGAATACATTTTTGCCGGCCAGGCAGGTTCGAGCTTATCTAATGTTCGAATTTAGGATGTAGATTTTTTATTTTTGCTGGGGTACGTAGTCGTGAAATATCTGCAGGATAGGATTTGGACCAGAGGCTTGCCATCATTAATCCCAGCAGTCGCTGTCAGTGAAAGCTCTCAAGTTTATTTTTTATTCAAGACTAAGTCTAAGATTTGAGGGAAAATTTAACCCCCCGGTTCTCTGGTCTTCCTCAATATTCCATTGTGGCAAGGTCGGTTGGAAAAGCCTGGCTCTTGATTCATGTGAAGCCTTGAATTAGAAATGAAAGTAACTGGAGGGACGAGCAGATACTATTAGGTTCACGGCATATGTGATAGCGACATATGATTAGAATGTCATTATCTATTGTGAGACAGATGGAAGTATGAGTAAGCCTGACCAGAGATTTGGCTTAGTCACTCAAAGTAGTGGAAATATTGACCAATGACTCAAGATTAACATTTCTATTGGCATATTCACAGCCATCCATCACACGCCCAACGCAACCATTATCAGATATAGAGACAAAATTTTTATTGAGTGAGCGGAAAATGTCGTTACTACTCGCGCGTCATGCACTCAGGCACTCCGCTAAAATAAGAGGGCTTGTCGCAAAATCTAAGGCTAGATGGGAATCAACGGCTTCGAAAGCAAATACGTCAACAACCTCACAGGCTACCGAGGGTCTAAGCCGTGTCGCCTCAGCTGCAGGCCCAGTTCTCAATGGTGCAGTAAATGGTCTCACTGAAGCCTTAATAAAAGTTGGAGGTCGAACCGGACGAGTTGTTGCCTTTATTCAACGTGAGTTAGCTCGTTTTCGATTGTCTGGCCGGCAATACCATGGAGAACTCAATCACTAAGGTACTTCCTATTCAGGACAAATCCCACCAACGCTCTACTATGCGCGCGTTGGCCTCGAGCTCTCCAAATTGGTCTTCCATGGTCAGAAGATGAGCCCTCCGTAAGTCTTCCATTCTTAATTTTCCTATCAGTCCGTTCTAATAATTTTTTTGCTTAGGCCCATGAGCACCTTTCAAGTCTACTATCAGAAACTCGTTCAAAACCTTAGGTATCCAAGTAGCCTGCTGGGTGCCTCTTCGTCTCTAAACCCTCAGGTTTTACTCAACCGCGCAACCAATGTCAGCAAAAGTGATGTAGCAGCCAAAGCTGTCCTTCTCGCAGAGCTCCTTGGATTTTTCACTGTCGGGGAAATTCTTGGAAGAAGAAAGCTGATTGGTTACAGAGGAGAAGTAGCTCATCACTAGATTTTGCGGAATAAGCTCAAGGAAGTTGGAGAGTTGGCACTATAAGTCTCGGATTTTGGAATCTATAAATGGTCGTTACTAGGACTTCAAAAGACTCTGCCCTTAAACCTTTCGCGTGGACATATTCAAACAAAAAGCCCGTGGCTGTCTTCAATATTTATGATTATCTCTCTATTAAATTCATTGTATTTGTTTTTATACGAATATCCATACGTCACGAAATTGGGCACCAAAAGAAGATTGTAACAACGGCGTTCCAAGGCCTCACAGCCCTGGCAAAAATATTTACTTTGTTATGGAGATTAATAATAGCTGGTTCGAAAGTACGTCGTGCAGAAAAAACTTGAGACATACATATTGATTCGTACAACTCCAACAGTTCTGTGCAAGATTAAAACACAATGTTTCTCGATAACTGGAAGGTAGATGAAGTGAAAGGCTCCTCCACTATTTGGTTTGGACCATAATTAGCGAAGTTCTATCTTTTTTAGCTTTCCATCCTATCAGGGAAGGTGTGTTTCTGTATAACAACGAGAATTATGGCCACAGCTCATCCTAAAAATCTAAAAATCTAATAGTCATTGTATAGCAATTGTGCTCCTACCAAGCCTTTGTTAAATCATATCACACCGGTGAGAACCCATGAAAAATATAAGACAATAGTGCGAATAAATCTAGTAATATTTTGGTTTACTCGTCTAAACTGCCGAGCCTACTCTCTCGAGTCTAAGCAACTTGCCACAACTTCTGGGGTAAAAAATGTTGAAAGTCATGCGATAAATCTGTAATTGTATCACGTGTCTCGCTCAGTATTCCACACTTTCCGTAAATGTGAAGTGTGTTGATAATTGCAAGAACAAGTAAATAAGCACCAACAGTTGTAGTTATAATACACACAATAAATCATATATATATATTTATATTATAAGGAATATGATTTCGAGAGCAAGTATCCACACGGAGCTGAATATATAGCTGGTATGCAGTATACTCTTAACTCCACTGTCGCATAAATTACAATAAAAAACACTGTCCCATGGTATGTAATTCTCCCGTCCTATCACTTTTGGATATCGAGGCCTTCAATAGAAATTTCAAGAGCCTATTAGTGGATAACAGCGCGGTGAAGGGTCTGGTTTCTTGTTGGCCCTAGTGGTAGTTAATATATTTTTGTACTATCTAAGTGTATTCAGCTACGTAGCTGTAATATATGATCAATACTGTGTGCAAGTAGGATGACTCGTTTGATGTTAGAGCCACTCACTCTGGATTTCATTTGCTAATACCACTATGAGGTATGTTGGCTGACGCAAAATATTTGAGCCTCCTCCGTGAGTACCCACTAAAGGACAGTTTCAAACCCTTTGATTATTCTAGTATGCCTCCGTCATCCATGCAGACTTGCACATCATTAAATTTAGTTGAGTTTGACCGCATTCGAACCAGCGATCTCCTGTCTCAAGTGGGGTAAGTTTCCAAACTAGCCAGAATCTATGTAGGAGACCGGCCCAAAAATTTATCGCCGCATCATCCAATGATAGTTATTATTAGATTGTCGTTGGCACTCTCGAATTTCAAGATGTGGGGCCCACAATGGTCTCCAAATTGAAAAGACTAATTGTCTAAATTCAAAATTTAACCCTTTTCAAGATTGTATTGACTGTTGGTATCATCTTATCCACTTATCCTGATCTATCTCACGTTCATTCCAAAAACCTACCTCCCGTTTTTTGCACTATACCTTTTTTCCTCCGCCGGGAACTCGTATCTTTGTGGGAGTGTTTGTAGATGCTATTTTAGGCTAGACTAATATGACAAGAGGTATGATCATTGAAAAGAGGGTGTACTTGATTGTACTTACACACTTGATGATGGTTCTGTAGAAATCTATCATTTTAGAAAAAAGATATTAATTTGGTTGGGAGTTTTGAATCATGGCCTGAACAACTTCTCTGGTATTGCGAAATTCGACTGAGATTGGCTATTTGTGAGAATATTTTACTCTCGGCCTCGTATGGGACACCGCGTACAGGTATTCAGTCTTGTCCTCCCCGTACGACCGTTGCAGCGCTCTAGAATGTGATGAGTTCCCAGACGACCCGTTGGACACGCCCAACCCATAAGCTCTGTTAACGAGGCGTTAGGTAGAGGTGTAGCAGTTGCAGAAATTCGAGCTAAGGAAGCTGAATTATTATTCGGTGTTATTGCCTCGCTCTTGGACAATCATTGGGACGCACGTAGTCGCAACTCACTCCCTGCCAAACATCTATTAGCCCTCAAAAACTTCTACCAAGAACCAGCTGCAGTCGCCACCCGTCACTTTGATGCCTACACAAACGGAAAACTAGTATCTAAAGCTGAACCCACTCCTGAGCCTATCCGAACTCCGCAAGCGCCGGAGTATTATACGCCAATATGGCTCGCCGACTCTAAGGCAATCGCACCGAAAATACACATAACAGGAGAGATTCAGCAGTTACTAGTTCAAAAACTCAACCGCAACGACATCCCATTGGTGATCGTCTGTTTGTCCGCATACCTGATAGAGATGATCTCAGGGATCTCTCAGCGTATGATATCCGTTCTCACCTGAAAGCTAAGCTAGGAAACGCAGGGCGAGTTCTCGTCAACGTGCAGTCTACAGAGACTGGCTTCGCCCTTGCCTTAAATACAGAGAAACCTCTAAACTTTGGGAAGAAATCTCAAAGGTTAGTATATTTGATAATGTTGCAGTCGAGAGTGCTTCACCGTGGACTTCATATAGAATTAATAATGACTCACGAACATTCGGAACCATAAATGATAAACTTAAATACTGCCTTCAACCAGTCACGGCCGCTGCCATGCACGAAGCAGCTTCAGCTGCTGCAGGAACAGCTCCGGTAGCTATTCTATCATCGCGTGATGATGAGGAGAACTCAGACTCCAACTCTACAACATGGATTGCTCGCGTCCCGGAGTCACACCAACGCCTTCTTCGTGTTCTCTTCCTGTTTGGTTGCCGCACGATCACAAAACCCTCCCCCGACGCTACAATGCGGCTCTGTGTAATAGGTGCTGGCTGTGGCATAATCCCAAACCTGTGCTTCTTCCCTCCGGTGTCGTCTATGCGGTTCCGGCACAGATTCTGAAAACGAGCATATTAACCACTGCGCAGCCATAGGCGAGCTTTAAATCTTTCAAGGCTTCCATCGGGATTGGGTTTGACGGTGAATACCCATTTTTTTGAAACAGGATTGGCGTCTTTAGGAAGCACGCACTCAATCTATGTCCCATACGAATTTAAAGCTTAAATCTAATTGTCTATTGCTGCAGTCCACTCTATGGCATTGATTGGATTGTTTACAACCTCGTTGTAAGTTTTAGAATTTTAAAACTTATGGAATTACCTAAGACATCAGCCATATGTCTCTTTTGATGAGGATTGAATGTTTCACCATTCATAGCTAAAAGAGCATATGTATTGTTAGCTTGACTACTCGGAATACTGAAGCCAATTAATTTTGCAGTTTTTGCTCTAATTTTCTCTCTTTGACGGTTGTCATTGTCATTGCGGGGTTTCTTTCTTTCCCTGAAAAAATATCTACCTATATTATTTATCGGATAGTATTTCGATACCAAGCATCTCATCCGGATCTCATTCGTTCATTTCTCTAGTTTAACATCCTATTTGGCTTCTATATACAGAACCATGAAGACGGTAAGCCGCTTTTATAAGAGAAAAAGATTTCAACAAACCCCGATATCCTGCCCCTCTGAGCCGACCGGGCTTAATACTGAGGACGTTCCTTTCAACCACAATTTTATAAACTTTCCCCAGAATTCGTTAACTCCCCCTTCAATCAGACTAACGTTATGAAAAATCAAAAAGAGAAGACGCCTCCTCACTCGGCGTTGGTCGTCGAAATGTTCGAAGAGCTGGCCCCGATGGTGCTGCTGCTGTCGAGGAGATGGTTGGTGCCACTGGTATTTCGACTACTTCATGTGGTCGTCCTGGCCTCCTTCTGAGTCCTTCAGCTTTCTTTGTAGTGACCAAAGTGAATCTCTGATCATCAGTCGTTCCGACTGTTCGCGTTGGCGCCATAGTTGATTTTTCGTTCCATATTTCCGCCGTTCTTGACAACAGCTCCATCCGAGCCTTCTCGACAATTCCCTTGAAGACCTGGCAGGTCCGACACACTACTTTCTGCCACGAACGGTGTTCCTTGCCGCAGTTTTCACAAGAAACCCTTTTCCTCGGACAGTCCCGAGTTTGGTGAGCGCCAGCGCACTCACCGTACCTGCCTACCTTTCCACAAGACGCCTGGGTGTGTCCCCACTGACTGCAGTTGTAACACTGCTTTGGCTGGGCCCGTGGTGACCACACCTGCGCGGTATAGAGCATGGCGTTCATAACAAGGCCGTTTCGGACCACTTTCGTCTGCATTGTCTCCGATGCGAGGTTTACCACAATTGATCCACGAGTGCGGCCATTTTTCTTTGACCGCTGGTGTTCCTTTCCGTCGTATAACCACCTTATACGACTAATGACTAAGCCTGGTATCTGTGCCTTCGTAGCCGTCTGTATCTTCCTGATGATGGCAAAATTGTTGAAATCTGTGCCCCCTTCAATTCGTGTCCGCAATGGCACACCGTTGACCTCGACTGGAAAATCTTGCCGCAGAATTTTGAATTCTGTTAGTTGTCGCATATTTAGCGCCGCGTCTCTCTGGGACGCCGACTGGAAGAATACCTCGGTATCGTTGCTCCGTATTTGACGAATCGCATATGCACCTTATATGTGCTTTTTTGCCTTTGAAAGCAGCTCTTGTGCCTGCAAGTTTTGAGCGCCGTCGTTTCATATTCGTACTGCTGTTTTTGTCATTTGATGAGGCACTATAGAAGCGTAACTCCTTAGTGTCGGCGCGCCCGAAACCGCTGCTGGAGCAGCTTTTCGAGTTGGATCCGCGAGTCTCTTTTTGACAACTTCCTCGAGAGCAATCATCCTCTCCTCGATGGGA